GCCGTACCCGCGGCACCGCCGCGGATTAATGCATAATAGCGTTCACCGTGGTGAACGAACGCGGGAAGGAAAGCAGTTAAATGTCACGGGAGTGAAATATAAATTCCCCGGGGAAAAAGTCAGATCGTGTGTCCTGCGCAAAGAGGCTCGATCTCCTCGCTAATGCGACCGGTTGTGAGTACCGTCCGTTGCAGCGAACCTGGCACTCTCCTCTGAGTGGTCGGATTCGAAGCCGCGCGCCTGATAGGCTGAGGCGCTCACGCCCACCAATCGCCTCGCGCGACAGGGACTGTCTCCGCCCCCTGGAACGTCACGGGTGTGAGGTTTGCAGCAAAGACGGCGACTGCAGCGGTTCTCGGTAGTTTTCGACGTTCGCAAACACAACGAAAATGATTTCACCCTCTGAATATTGCGTCAACGCGTATTTTTATGATAGGGGATTAATCTAAGTTAAGCTATTGTAATCACAGTTATATAATATACGACTAACGGAAGATGCAATTGTTGAATTAGACTTCACATATTTTTCAAGCGCCTTTAAACGTCAACAGTAATCAAAGAGTTAAATAACGGAAGCTACTAGATCCTTAGCCCTACAGAATATTTTCGAATGGTTTAGATACTTCCTTCAGTCTTTAACAAATCTAATGTAAGTACTTTGCTCTTCATACTGTTTGCTCGCGCAGCTCACAAGAAACTTGTGAAATTGGAAACATGATTAAGTAATTTAATCTTGAATTTAACGGTTGTTTACTGGAAGCCTGTTAAGAGATTTATTGGAAGGTCTTGAGCTGCTAATTGGGAATTGTTGGGGGACGATTAAAGCATCAAGGTGTATCGCCGAGCGAAACGGAACGATTACTGTAATGGAGAATACGTTTTACGATTCAACGTACATGGCATTCGATGAACAGTCTGTCGCAACTGCACGGATTATCAAAATAAACCATGTACACTTGAGTACAACCTTTCCCTTAATTCTTCTTCGGCATTTTTCCCTAAGTAGACTCATTGTTTTCGGAACGTGGCCAGAAAACGCTACCGTGCAGGCTCAGCGATCCCTGAACACCTTTTAACGGTTTCCCGAGGAATGCCGGCTATCTCATCTCGCCTCGGTTGCGGCCGCGTTATCGGCGATCTTCTTTCCTGACCCTCTTCCTTTTCACCCGAGACATTTTTCCCCGGACCGTCCGTGGGCCGGTATGAAAATGGCCGCGCGTCGTGACGCGGTTGCCCCACTTTTCCAGGGACCCGTGGCCTTAGGTGCACCGTCCACCCATTAAACTTGCATCCCCGGCTGTAAGTCTGAATGCTGCTGTGTCAGGCTTAAGAGGTCATTCTTGAAAAAGATCGATTTCTTTTTCATTTATCCGGAGTACACATCTTTAGGAAACATTTTAACGCTAGGACCACCAGATGGGTCAAAATGATCCGTTTCGTGTCACTTCTTTCGCAATTATGGAAATAGCGCAGAGAAAAATAATTAACTAAATAATTCTAATTGTTCCAACCAGAGTTCGTCCTCAAGGACAACACTACCAAGGAATTGGTGAATAGGCGAGGAAATCAGAAAAATAATTAACTAAATATTTCTAATAGTTCCAACCAGAGTTCGTCTTTGACCCCTTGCCGTACAATGACGAGTGAGACTCGCAATTAAGATTTCTAAACTAATTCAACAAGAATCAATGTTGTTCATTACCCACGGATCAAAACAAACTATTTTACTATTACCAATGTATTATCTTCAAATGAAATTTCCACCTCAAGTAGAATGGAAAATTGTATTGTATCTCTTCCAAATTGTCGATAGTAAAATATCACACGAGCTTAGTAACGAAAGTAAATAGCACGCCAAGGGGTTAAGAACGACGCGACCAGAGAATAGGTAAATAGGCGAGGAAACGAGAGAAAAAGTTTCGAAGCCGGAACACCGTCGATCCTTTCCAGCGAAACGGTATTGAGGAAGGTTACGGCGAGCGGAGAATGACGCAAACAACCGGCGGCAAGGCATAACCCAGCAGCGAGAAGCGGGCATAACGGAAGAAGGGGAGACACGGCAACCCCCTTCCGACCTAGGACGAGCAGGGACGCGAAGATACGTCGAAGGGGGACGCGCGCCGCGGCCACGGACGGGACGGGCCTCCCGGCACAGGAAAGAGGGTGTCGCCGACAGAAATAAACGAGCCACGGCTCTCGTGTAGATGCCTCGTGAGGCTTCAACCTTCGAAAAAAGCGCCACCGATGGCTGCCGCTGATCCACGTGAACTCACGCTTTTCTGGCGATTCCAATTTTACACGCGACACGCAATTCCGTAATTTTAGAGTAACCGGTGGGAAATCTATTCACTTCCAGATTCGCTCGACTCGCTTGGGGATCTAAGGGACTCCTTTTATTCGATGTATTCAGGATATTTCTTAGATTTATTGACATTGGAACTACCAGACGGGTTGAAGTGACTGATTCGAATTACTGCAAAGGTGCAGATATTTCTGTAAGGAATGACTGAAGAAGCTGATCTACATACTTAATGATACTCTCAGCCAATCATATATCACAATCGAAAATTCACGTAAGAAAGTGCCAGGTTCGCTGCAACGTTCTTACAAAGTGAAACAAGAAACGACATTACGAGTTAACCCTTTGAACTCTGTAGGCTCCAATATTGCACCAGTTATAATACTAAATATTTTAATGAATCTTAAAGAAACTACCCTAAAATTATTCGATTTTCCGTAGATCCAAATTTTTTACTAAGGAAAATAAAAGATCAAAGAAATAGCATTTCCCATTTTCGCTAGGAATACTATAAAAATTAGTTGCAGTTGATAGATTACAAAACAACCTGGAGTGCTAAGTGTTGATATCGCAAAATTTCGGAAAGGAGGACGTCAGCGATCGTATCGTCAACAAGCAGTCTACGAGAGGGCGAGCGCGCGTGTCGCGTTCCGTCGTTTCGACGACCTCCGGCCGCGGGAGGAGGGAAATGAAAGAAAAAAAAAGAGGCGCGATCGGCGATTCGAGCCGCGGGGAAGAGGATCGGGGCCAGAGAAAGTGGTCGATGAACCCGGTCCTTCGACGCCGTGGCAACCGTACATTACGCTACTTAACTGACTTTACGTTTCCGCTTAACGCGTCCCGAGCGTGGCGCGTTGCGCGTGTAACACACACACGGGACGCGCGCACACAGGCACGGCTCGGTTACGTCCACGCGTAATGGTCTCTTTCAGCCGAGCGCTACTTCTTTTCTCGGAACGTGTACGAGCCGCACGCCACGAAAACACACCCGGTGAAATCGTTACGCCCGGATCGGTGTAATAACGGCCAGTGTTACACGCGCGTGTTCGCGTCCGAGGCCTCAAGGCGACGCGACCGAGCGCGCACCTCGTGAACTTTCTTGCCGTCTGTGCCCGCGTTCGAAGGAAAAATTATAAGTAACGGGCAGCCGTTCGGAGGAGAGCCTCGGCTCGACGTAATCCGTACCGTTACGAGCGAAATATGCATACGCAATGGGTAAATAATAATAGACGCGTATACAATGGATCGCGAGAGCAGATTTTCAAGTTTGTAGTCCCTGAAATTGAAACTTCGTGTTCCAGTATTCTCATGTTTATATTAGAACTTGACTAAATTCAAGATTCACCCGTTGTCATCCAATTATTATCAGCGTTCTCGCTTTATCCATCGAAGATACACCTACGACAAAGCATCTCTTAATTTCTACATATTCTAAACTACCGAGCAGTTACGTTGACTTTTCGGAATTCCTCTATAAACTCCAATAGTGTTATAGTATTAAAATATAAAATTAGTTCCAGATTTCTCAGAGAAACGTCAGTTATCTTTTTCACAATTGAAAAGGAGAAACCAGGAATGTTTCGACCTATCCGGTAGTTTCAGTGTTAACCCTTTGCACTCCGCAGTTTTGCACTAGAAATATTTCAACATTTTCTGATGAGACGAAGGCGATATTTTGTAAAAGCAACTCGACGAGAAATTCACGCGAATTGACGGACAAAGCTATTTTACGTCAATATTTCTCAGATTGATGCATTATATGAAGTATAACATTAAATATCACTCGAAATCAAGTGGTGAGAGTCACCTCCCGAGTGCAAAGGGTTAAATATCAAATTTTATAATTTTACTTCCCCAAATCAGGCGGTGACCGAGAGTCACCCCTCGATTGAAAAGGGTTAAAATACTATCTTGGAATCTTCTCCAAAATTCCCTTTCATCCAGCCCTGCAGATGACTCACGCGAAGATCTGTCCCGAGGATGATGAAGCGCGAATAAAAAGGCAGGAAGACAGAAGGGAATTCATGTTTCCCGGGTAAGAGAAAAATCACGGTCTCCCTAGTTATTTCCGTCGCGGGCACGCCCACGTAATCCGAATTCAGCCCCGAGATTCATTCACGCACGGGCGGAGTGAAAGAAACTGGCTACAGCGATAACGTTGCACGCCACGTGACGGTGGTTCTAACACCGAATATCGCGGCGCGATTGCGGGCTATCGCTCGTAGAAAAAGAAACGGCCCGCTGATATGATCCGGCGAGGGGCAGACCGGCCAGGATACGACGGCGACGTTTCTATCGCGCCGCGGACATCCTGGATGCGTCCAGAACGGACCGCCCGGGTGCCGGGTGTCGTTAACCTTAGCAACGGGCAATGCGTTGGACGAGGCTGATAACGTCTCTCGCCTTTCATCCGTTCGTTGCGCGGATTCGACGGCGGACAGATAAACTGCTGGATGACGTTAAGGACCGCGACTATTTGCCAGACCGTTTTTAATTAGTCTACACGCTGGCAGCCGGCTATTCACCTAGATAGTGGATACTCATTGTTATATCTTCTACGTGATTCGATGCGTTCTCGCGATAGTTCGATAAATCTGATAAAACGTAATGCTTTGAAAGTTTCGATGGAGATACTGTGATATTATGTAAAGTTAACGTCAACACGTTTTGATTTAGTTTTATTATTAGGTAGATAACTCACTTTTTAGGAGCCTGTGTTCCTGGTCGTTATTACCTGTAACAAATTGAAAGAATGATTAGTATTAAAATTTCAGTTGCAGTTTCATTGAATTACTTGAAGTTTATACTATAATATAAACCCTGTCATCTTGATAATCGGGATACAAAACGCGAGCTCCCAATGTCCAACGTGTTTATCATTCACCGTTCGAGCGATTCATCGTCGACGAGAAGACGAGGGAACACTCGAAGGAAAAAACAAGCCGCCGCTCGATCCGGGGCGCCTCAAAAGCAACTTCCGACTTTCGTTCGCGTAGAAACGAGCCGGTTTTATGTCTCATTGTACCGGGGTTCGGCACTCGAACCGTTTATTATCGGTAACGAGCATCGGAAACGAGGCCTCGAGGAGGCCTATTGATCCACGTTCGATTGATAATTGAACCGTCCAGACAACGGAGCGGTATAAAAAGGTTAATTATTTCGATACTCCTCCGAGGCATCTTTCCCTTTCAACGACTTCCGGAGCGGCGCGCGAGCGCGCGCGCGTGCAAGTGGGTCGCCGCTCGAAGGATCTCGATCAAAATACCCCGTTACCGGTTCCCCCGGCTTCATTGATCATCGGTTAATGGTTGTATTATATTCTAGGTTAATGGCAACGCGGCTCCCGGTAATGCATTCGGAGTGCAGCTCCCATTTATCGAATAACTCGCCGCGCGCCGCGGCCATCGCATCGTATCGATAACTTCGATCCGCACCGGGAGGAGGATCCTTTTCGGATTCGGGTCAAGTGATCCTTCACCGAATCCTTGTGCACCGTTCGGGATCAATTAAACGGGATAACGGAGAATAAAAAAAAAATATATATATATATATACATACATATATACGTATAGAACCGTTCTCAAAGGGAATCGTGTCGAGTGACGCTCCACGGTGCATCTTTTTAGGCGGGCTCCTCTTCGATTCGAGCAGCGTAAATTGGCTACCGTTATACCTTAACCCTCGTTCAACGATGTTGGCTCTCCCTCCCTCTCGAGTTTCGCGGATCCGTCGTTGCAGCTCGCTGTATAACAATTCATCGATTTCAATGCGAGATTCGAGGTTAGAGACGAGCTACCGAAGAATAAATTTTTAGAGGATTCACTATGGATTGCTCGATATTCTCAGGAGCTACCTGAATCTCTGGATGTACCACTTTCTCAGATTTTCTATTTCTATCGAGTTCCACTAGAAAGGAAGATGATTCTGTATAATCAATCTCTCGCCTCGCAGAGAGTTTACAACTGTTACATCCTACTGCCTCACATTCGTAGGCTGAGAATATCGTTAATCTTGTAATCGTCACCGCTACCGTCGTCAGCATTGTTAGTATCATCATTAATATTACTATTACAATTATCATCGTTATTATTCCTGTTATTATTACTGCCTCATGACCAACGTCCTCCCACCATCATACTCTTCCTCGCTCCCTCCATTTTCCTCTGAACGATTTCCCCGAAAACACAGTAGATTTTCCTAAATACAGTTAACCCCTTGGCGTACTATTTACTTCCGCTACTAAACTCGTGTAACATTTTGCCATCAACTATTCGGAAGAAATGCAGCAAAATTTTCCACTCTACTTGAAGTGGAAATTTCGTTTGTAGATAATAAATTGATAATAGCAAAATAGTTTGTTTTGATCCATGGGTAATGAACAACATTGATGTTGTTAACTACACTCGAAAATCATGAAGTTTATTCCCTCAACCTCCCACCATACATCCAACTCCAACCAAGACTAGACGCAGGACTATCCGAGAATCGACCTACTCATAGCAAACATCGCAACCTAGTTCATCCAAACCGTATCGCCAATTCACCAAAAACAGAATAAATCGTATGCTCTCGACAAATTTACTCCTTGATACTAAAGGAATACATAACATTCATACTTATCAAATTCAATATTACGATCTAAATATAAACGAATGATTATTTAGGAGCAACATTGGCGTCGAACGAATCCAACTCCGCCGGTGTCCGTGACAGCGGCGATTCCCGCGGATCGGTAACGTTATCGGTGAACGTGACACGCTACCGTGGAGAAGATCGGCGAAGAAGAAGAGCGTAGCCAGTCGGCGGAGTAGGGGCAGGTGGCGGGACGAAACGATTTCTTGCCGGGTACGTTAGCAGAGCCAGCCGGCTCCCGGCTCTGGGTAACACGGTACCAGCAACGAAGGAACTAACGGTGTTCTGCCCTCGATAGCCGCCATTGTGAAACTACATATTATGACAGAGGATCCGTCGCGTGTACCGCTTCACCACGACACACTTAACGCCGCGCCGCCTCGTCTCGTCTCGTCTCGTCTCGTCTCGTCTCGTCTCGTCTTACTTCTTCTCCACCTTATTCCGACGAATCCTCTCCCCGTCCCACAGCTTCCACGCCGATCTTCCTTCGATCCCCTCACTTTCTGCGCCGCGTAATTCCCTGATCGAAAGAAAAAGACGCGACGCGCACCGTCGAATTCTCTCTCGAATTTCTTTAACGCTTCGACTGCCACGTCACCGAAATTCGGGTGACACTATTTTTCACGTAAATTTCAACTGTCCGTTGAACGGTCCATTGTTGTGATTATGTGGGTGCAAGTTGGATTGAGAAGCTGGATTTAGTAATTAGTGCTGGAATCTCGATAGTCTTCGAAATGTAATTTTTTGCTGTTAACAGTCGATTTTTTAAAAATGTTTAGCTACTGTATTAATCTAACTAAAAGTCAAAGAGATAATGTAATATTTAATATACTGGTAGCTGGACTATCAATACAGACCAAAGAATCAAATATTTCACAGATAGACTGTCACGTCACTGAAATGTGGGAAATAAGGAAGATAGTGGAGGAATTATGAAGAATCTTGACTTTATAGTTTCCGGTTAATGAAGAATACTGTTCCGACTGCATAGCAGCTTTGATGAGTGTTTATTTGCCAGTCGAAGTGTTAATAAGCGTATCAATCAATCGTATGAATCTCCTTATTTGGGATTAGACTGTGGACATTGATCGACGCATTGATTAAGAATATTTTATTGAATGCAAATCATTCTTATAAAGTACGAGCAACGTTTGTGACGAGGGTCTCGACAACTTCCTCCGAGTTATATCACGTGTTATGATTTTGAAGAGTACACGTCAAAATAATTAAGTTCTCTTTACGCAAGATGCGAAATGTCGCGAGTATGTCACGCTAGTTGCGAAGATATTAGATTTAAAAATTTTAATTAAGTCTAACGCTTTATGGAACTTGGATTATTAAACGAATGGGATGAAGGTTGCAACACTGAACGTGAAACATTGCATTTTTATCGAGAATCAGTGATATATTGAAAAGTAGGAATTACTAGGAACTACATTTTCCTCGAACAATTTTCCGCTTTGTTAACGGAGACACTCCGTCCCCCGGTTTTCGCCGGAACGATCCGTTCAAATAACGAGAATCGATCCCCCGTATCTTATTTATCACGCGAAACTTTTTATCCGTACCATAAATTTCCTCTTTCCCGTTGCGCGGGGCTCGGTCGCTTAATTCCTCGGAACGATTAGCGCAGCGCGAAAATCCGATTAGGAAACACAGGGACGATCGTTTCCCCCACGGATCGTCGCGTTTCCGCAATCCCTCGCGTCGTTGGTTCCTCTATGGTGCGTTTACACCAACCGAACCAGTGCTCGGTCCCCACTCTCGATCGATTCGTGTATATTTAATGTTAACCGAGTTCGTCGCGAAGACGAGCGGACCGTGTAGTTAAACACTTTAGTATCGCAAATTCAAAATACACAGCTTTCTATATAAACTGAACTAATTTTCTTAATGACATCGAGCACATCCAGTTTCGTTGTATCTATAAACTCCCAGAAGATCAAGAGAACCGTCGTAATGATCCTGGGCTTTTCAATTTCTGTTCCTTAGGAACACCGTGTTCACTCCATGAAATTTTGATGATTCGACGGTTAAAGTGTCGAAAAACGGATAGCCGAGTTCACTGAATTCGATCATTTGCTGCGGAGCATTCGTTCAACAAGCAAAACATGTGTTTATAAAACCGAACGAGTGTCATTCGCCGCGAAACGTCGGACGCTCGTTCGGATTTCAATTTCGCCATAGTGGGGTGCGAACGAGCATTCGCCCCGTCGGTGTAAATTCACCGTTTTATATGCAAACGACACGCGCGTGTGCCCCGGCCGTTTGTTTATCGATTGCTATCGCGCGACGACGTCCCGCGGCCACATATAGATCGGCGGATCATCCCGAGCACGGAAGTGTCGCAAGAGACCCGGCTGCCCGGCCGCCCGCGCCGCGCGGATTTCCTATAAATTTCTGCCCCGGATGATTCAGGGCCGGTTACGCAAAACAGGAAAGGAAAACAACCGCTGGAACACCTCTCGCGCTCGCAATCCTCTTACATTTCTCCACTTTTTTCCCTCCCGCGACTCGAAACGCGATGACGCGAGCTTCAAGGCGATAAACCGCCGCGGGATTTCGTCATTCCGCCGACGATATTCCGGCCGATCGATGATATCTCCGCGATCGTCCGCGGCTCGCTGCATTCCACGGGCTCTCCGGATCTTTTCCCGACTTTCATGAAAGCCGAGAATTATCGAGGAATGCTCCGATCGAAGATTTCGCAGTTCTTGCAGCGGTGGTCGCGTTAATTCCGATTCCAGACAGGTCTCAATTGCGGAATCGGTGTAACGAAGTTTAACGGGATAGAGACAAGTTTTTGTTACTATTGCATCATAGCAGCAACTGATATTAACACTAACTCTCGCCCAGTTCATTCGATACAGTAAACTGCATCAATCTAAGAAACACTCTGTTCCTCACTTTACTATTCCCTCTTAAACTGATCTACAAATCCATCACCTGTCTCATCAGAAAATATTCCATACTTCCAGCAAAATGTCGAGTGCAAAGGGTTCACAGCTAACTCGTTCGAAAAATACACCAGCATACAAAGAAACTACAACCAGCAGTTACCAGCGAAACCACAATAAACCGAGGAACAAAGGAACACAAATGACACGAGAGACCCGACGCAACGGCGAAATGTTCGCGGCGCGAACCCGAATTCACGGAAGCCGCGGTTCCCCGCGGGTCTGCGGTCACGGGGCCCCGATTTCGTTGGCGGTCGTCGTTCCGCGTTTATTCCGAGCGTCCCGTTCGTGCGGAGGAAATTTCGGCGGTTTAACGCGAAAGAAGCGTGCACGCGGGATCGTTCCGTGGCCCGCACGCTCGGCTCGGCTCGGGGTCGGCCGAGAAATGGTACCGCGCGACCGTAAGGGACCGTAAACCGAAGATTGACGACTATTAAATC